CCCCAAAACCCCAAAACCCCAAAACCCCTTGAGGCAAAAAGTATATAAATAGGCTATTAAATTTGAATTTATAATTTGAATTTGAAAAAGGATACGAAATGTAAATCAAGTATTAGAAGAATCTGCAAACTCCAATTGATGGAATGCAAAAAATTTCTTCAATCTGCTGGTCCCCTAACTCAAAACGTATGGCAGTTGCAACAGCTGATAGAGTAGTCCATCTCTTTGATGAGAATGGAGAAAAAAAGGATAGATTTTCAACTAGACCTGCAGACAAGGACAACAAAAGTTACATTGTGCGCGCCATGTGCTTCTCTCCTGATAACCAAAAGCTTGCTATAGCTTAATCAGATAATATCGTCTTTATCTACAAAATTGGACTTGAATGGGGTGAGAAGAAATCAATCTGCAACAAGTTCAACTAAAATAGTTCAGTTACTTGTATGTCTTGGCCTTTTGAGAGACATAACGAGATCATAATTGGTACTGCTGAAGGTAAAGTCAAGTAAGGTATTCTCAAGACCAATAAGAGTGCTCCTTTATTCGGAAGTGATAGCTTTGTTGTCTCAGTCTCATCATCTCCAAATGGCCAGAGTGTCTGTTCAGGACATTTGGATGGAACAATCTTGACTTTCAATCTTGAAACAAAAGCAAAGTCAAAGATCTAACATACTACAATTCCATATGCACTTTCATGGGGTTCTCATATCTTAGCTGGTGGTAACGATGGTAAAATCCACTTCTATGAGCCAACTGGTGATTGTTTCTAAAGATTCGACTATTCCAAAGATGAGAAAGTGAAGGAGTTTACATGTGCATAATTTAATGCTACTGGTGAAACTGCCATAGTAGGAAACTTTAATAGATTTTACGTGTTTAACTTTAACCAAAAGAGACCACAATGGGATGAGATATGTTGCAAGGTCATCGAAAATTATTATTCAGTTACTTCTTGCGCCTGGAAGGCTGATGGGTCAAAAATCACTATCGGCTCACTTTGTGGATCAGTAGATGTTTTTGACGTCTGTCTTAAGAAGTCTAAATACAAAGGTAAATTTGAGTTCACCTATGTCTCCCTCTCACAAGTAATTGTAAAGAGAATCGAAAATGGTCAAAGAATAGTTTTGAAATCCAATGCTGGCCATGAAATATCTAAAATTAATGTCTACTAGGATAGATATCTTGTTGCTTCAACCAACAGCACTCTACTTCTAGGTGATATGGACTCTTGTAAATTATCTGAACTTCCATGGAGAGGTAGTGGCAATGAGAAATATGATTTTTCAAACCCAAATATTTGTATGGTTTTCAACGCAGGAGAACTCAGTATTGTAGAATATGGAGTTAATGAGGTCATTGGAACTTGTAGAACTGAGAATATTTAACCAAACATGATATCAGCTAGACTTAACTATTCAGACTAATAACTCAGAGGAGGATAGCCTACTAAAATTATCGCATATCTTTTAGATTCGATGACTATCTGTATTCTTGACTTAAGAAACAATTCTATTTAAGCAAACATTAATCATGATTCAAAGATTGATTATCTTGAACTCAACCCTGGTGGAAATAAGCTCTTATTCAGAGACAAAAGAAGACAACTTCACTTATATAATATCAAGGAGCAAAAAAAGCAAACTCTACTTAACTACTGCCAGTATGTAAGTTGGGTACCAACATCAGATGTAGTAGTTGCCTAAAATAGAGGTAACCTATGCGTGTGGTATTCAATTGAGGAGCCTGATAAGGTTACTATGTACCAAATTAAAGGTGATGTTGAAAGTATTCAAAGGACTGAAGGTAAAACAGAAGTGCTAGTTGATGATGGTGTCAATACTATTTCATATGCTCTAGATGAAGCCCATATCGAGTTTGGTGCTGCTCTTGAATACAAAGGATTAGATCAAGCTGTAAAAATCTTAGAGCCACTAGAATTAACTCCAGAAACTGAGGCTAACTGGAAAACTCTTGCTAAGCTCTCTATGGAACAATAAAATTTGCTAGTAGCTGAGAGATGCTACGCTGCTTTGGGCAATGTTGCAAAGGCTGATTATTTGAGGAAAATTAACAAACTTATAGCTGCTGAAGGAGTAAGTAATTTCAGAGTTTAAGCTAGACTCTCTGTTCTTGATAAGTAATTCCACAGAGCTGAAGCTATCTTATTATAAAACGACGAAGTTGATGAGGCTATGGCTATGTATTAAGAACTTCATAGATGGGATGAATCAATCAAGATCGCTGAAAAGAAAAATCATCCAGACGTTAGAGAATTCAAAGAAAATTACTTTGGATGGCTTATTGATACAAATTAAGAGGCAAAAGCTGCTGAAGTCAAAGAAAGAGAAGGAGATTTCCACACTGCTATTACTCTTTACTTGAAAGGTGGACTTCCAGCTAAAGCTGCCAATATTGTTACAAACTACAATGTTGGAGTTCCTCATGACTAGCTCGAGAAGATATCTGCTTAGCTTATATCAGCAAGTATGTTTGAGAAGGCTGGTGATTTCTTTGAGAGACTTAACATTCTTGACAGAGCACTTGACTGTTATGTTAGAGGTCATGCTTTTAGAAAAGCTGTTGATTTGGCAAGAAGAGCATTTCCAGCTCATGTAGTTACTCTTGAGGAAGAATGGGGAGATTGGTTATAATCCTAAAAATAACTTGATCTTGCAATAGAGCATTTCGTCCAAGCAGGAATTTTCAACAAAGCTATCGAAGCTGCTATAAGCGCTAGAAAATGGAATAGAGCTGTTTAATTGATACAAAATCAACCACCTGAAATATCAAGACCCTATTACAAGCAAATAGCTAAGCATTACGCTGAAATTAGACAACTTGATTTAGCTGAAAAATACTTTATCAGTGCAGGGGAATTTGTAGAAGCTTTTGAAATGTATGTTAGATCAAACAAATGGGATCAAGCTTATTAAGTTATCAGCAGATACTTACCAGAGAGTGAATACACTATGCTTTATGTATAAGAAGCTAGAAAATTTGAAAGCGAGGGTCATTTCAAAGATGCTGAGAAAATGTATCTGTCTGCTAATGAGCCTGATCTTGCTATTAATATGTATAAAAAGGCTAAGCAATACGATAACATGATCAGATTAGTTATGAAATTCAGAAAAGATCTACTCAAAGATACCCATTAACATCTCGCTTAATAACTAGAAATGGAGGGAAATTTGAAATAAGCCGAGCAGCATTACATTGAGAGTGGAGCTTGGAGCTTTGCAGTTGATATGTACAGAGCTCATGATATGTGGGAAGAAGCTCTTAGAGTAGCCAAGGCTAATGGAACCTCAAAAGAACTTGGAGAAATTGCTATTAAAGTAGCAGAAAATATGGGGGCTGAGAAAGGTACTCAGTTCCTATTGAAAAATGGACTAATTGAGGCTGCAATTGATTTTGAGGCTAATCAAGATCATTTTGAGCAAGCATTCTCATTGGCCAATTCGCATGCTAAATACAAGTTACCAGAGGTTCACTTGAAATATGCACTTCATTTAGAAGATGAAAATAGATTAAAAGAAGCTGAAGAAGAATTCATCAAGGCAAACAAACCCTAAGAAGCCATTAATATGTACGAACACAAGCAAGACTGGCACTCTGCATTGTCAGTTGCCAGACAATTCCATCCTGAAAGTGTTTCTAAGGTCTTCATTAACCAAGCTAAATTTCTCCTTGATAGAAAAGATTTCGGAAAAGCTGAATAATGCTACCTAAATGCTAAAGAACCAGAGCTTGCTATTAGAATGTATCTTGAAGTAAAGCTATCATCTGAGGCTCTAAGAGTTGCTCAAAAGCATGCTCCACATATGGTTCATCAAATCAACTAAATTTTGTCATCAGGTCCCCAAGCTGCACTTTAAAGTGGAGATTAGATTTTGGAATCTGCCAAGATGTGGGAAAACCAAAGAGATTATCAAAAAGCTATAGACAGATATCTTGAGATTACTGAATAGCATTTCTAGAATCCAGCTCACCTTGAAGAAATTTGGGTGAATGCTTTTAACATTGCTATGAGCTATGCTAAAGATAGAGTACAAGAAGTAGTTTCTATAGTTGGGTCAAGACTTTTGGCAATAGGAAGATTTGAATCTGCTGGAGAAATTTTAGAGTCAGTTGGTTACTATGAGAAAGCAGTTGAGGCTTACTCCAAAGCCAAAAAATTCAGCAGAGCTCTCTCAGCTGCTCATTAAGTTAGACCTATAGAGTTAAGGGACATGATGATTTAACAAATCTAACTTCAATAGCAAGCTAAGGACATTGAAGGAGGTCATTATCACAAACTCGGAGATTAGGGTCTTGAAATGCTTGCTCAAAAGGGACAGTGGGAGGAATGCTTAAACTTAGCAGAGAAATCTGGACCTGAAGTATTAAATAACTATTTGATGAGATTCTCAAGAATTTACCTTAAGGAAGGCCAATACAAGGAGACTGCTCGAGTTTTAACAAGATACGGCTGCCCAGTTATAAAGGATATGCTACCTGTATACAAGACAATCGCTCTTGAAATTCTTGCTACTGTTCATGAAATGGAACTTTAAATATTGAAGGAAATGTTATAGAAATTCTGTGAAAATCTATCACTTCAAGTTGATGAGAAAAACGCAATTTTCCAAGAGTTTAACAAATACCTCTTAATCTCTCATTATTAACTATTAAAGGGAGAATGTGCTAGAAACAATCTTGGTAGAGTTTTATCTAAATTATGCACCTCACTGCTAAGATATACCAAAGAAATAAGAGCGGATAAGGCATTCTTGGATGCTGGAGAGGCAAACAAGAGAGAAGGAGTTAATAACATGGCATTCATGTTCTTTAACAGATATCTCGATCTTTATGAAGCTATTGAGGATCCAGACAGTGGTGGTATTTAAGATAATTCTGATTTCTAGGATACAGATATTCCATCGCCATTTGAAATCCCATTACCAGATAAGAATTTGATTAGTCCTGATGACAGAGACAACATCAGAGATTGGGTGTTGAACATCAACATGAGCAACACTGTTGATAAATCACTTGGCATGAGAAACTGCGAGTCTTGTGGCAATGAAGTCTACGAAGCAAGTTTATTCTGTCCTCACTGCAGAGCAACTCACGAACCATGCATAATCACTGGATACCCATTGATAAGATCACAAATGATTACCTGCAAGTTCTGTAACAAAGGTGCTATCAGAGACTTCTGGAATGACTATATATAGGTCACTATGCACTGCCCTTGGTGCAAGAGTATGCAAACAGCTTATTGAATACAGCTGTCAAACTTTCTATGAGAATCTATTCTTCTCATTAAACAGGTTAAATCCTTATTTCAAACTAAAAATTACTTACTCAACTTATCATTATTCCTTACTTAGGGGTTTTGGGGTTTTGGGGTTTTGGGGG